CGACATTGGACGTGGACGGGCTGTGCCTCGACTTTAGCGTGACAGTGGAAGGCGGAAATGTCGTCGAGTTGGTTCCGCATGGCCAGAATATCATGGTCACGGCCGCCAACCAGGCGGAATACGTGCAGCGTATGCTCCAGTACCTCTTGTTCGATCGCATCCAACTGCAGCTCCAGAGTTTGCTCACGGGGCTGTTTGAGGTACACATGATGATTTATCTTATTCACGTGGTTTTAGTTTATATTCATTAGCTTATGAATGAATAATGTGGGGAGGATTCCAAGTGATTTGAATGGTTTGTTTCATGTGAATAATGTGGGGAGTATTGTATATATTCGTTGTTTTTATGAATGAATGTGGCGATTTCACGTGTTTTTAATTGTTTATTTCACTGTTTTATTGCTGAATGTGGGAGTGATTATGTAGATCCTGCCGCAGCATTATTTGATCATGTTTGACCATAAAGAGCTCGAGCTGGTGCTGTGTGGCGTGACCGAGATCGACGTGGTCGACTGGAAGCAGTTTACTGCCACTTCCACGACGCTTGGCCCGGGCGGCGCACATGCGATGCAAATGGACTGGTTCTGGGAGGTTGTGGCCGAGTTGACGTTTCGAGATCGAGCCAAGTTGCTGCAGTTTGCTACTGGCTCCACGCGCGTGCCAGTTCAAGGTACACAATCAAAGTCAATTCAACGTCAGCATGAAATATGAGACAGGGTTCAAGGGGCTGACCAGCTACGACGGGCTCCTGTGTCCGTTTTCGGTCAAGGCGATTCCGTATCGACCAGGCATCCTTCCGAGGGCCCACGCGTGCTTCAACCGCATCGACTTGCCGCTCTACCCGACCAAGGACTTGATGGAACAAGGCCTTCTGGCCCTGGTGCATTTAGAAATGTCCGACTTCACCATGGTCTAATAAGTTGTTTGAAAGCTGTTCGTGTTGTCACGTACGTACTTGTGCGAAGGAACGATGTGTACTTGTTGAATCAATGTTCCTTCTGAAGTCTGTAAATACTATGAGGACCAAAACTACTCCATACTAGTATGTATAGTTGTTCAAAAGACATGTTTTGACTGAAATCGCTCTATAGATCGACGATACTACCTAGTGTATCCCATGACGAATCGACTACAGTGCAAAACGTTGGTACATACAGTAGTACTGTGTACGACCGACATGATGTAACACAAACACCAAAACCCAATCCGAGTACTTCATACTACTACTGGGGGTATATTTTTATGTTGCGCAATTGCACTCTGGTGGCTGCAAACTGCAGTTCAAAAGTGAAGCAACAAGTCCGACGACACTGTCCAAGTGCTCGAAAGCTGAACACAATATATTCCTGCCAAAGCCATGATTTCATCCAAGAATGACACTCTCACGACCATTGCCGTGTGTTGACGGGGATTAATCATGTCCATCAGTTTCCACGGTCGCATGGAGGATGGTCGATCCATCGAAGAGCCCCCGCGGTGGGGGCGGCGTCCAGCGAGATTTGGTGACTGTCGGGTCGGCGTGGTCATGATGGGCACGATGAGGGGGCCTGCTGGAGCTGTGGGATGACGACGACTGATGATCGGCGCCATTTTAGACAGCGACCTTGCCCCGGCCCCTACAGCCCCCCCACTCGCTCGGCGGCGTCCGGCAGCATCCGAAACACTTGGGCATCCATGGCCAGATTGAGTGGCGTGTTGCAGACGAAATCCGTCGCCCCCAAGTCCAAATCCCAGTTATGGAAAGTGCGACCGCCTCCAGGTTGTGATGCATCGCGGCCTCGCGCTGTCTCCCCAACCAGTTTATCGCCAGCACACATGCGCCACATTTTAATATATATATACATATATAATTAACCCTTCGAGCAAGTGGAGCACGTCTATTGTTCGAGCAGTTGGCGGCGACGTGCAGAGCCGTGTCGCCCGCCGGGGCGTTGCCCAAGTTGCTGCAACTTCCATAGTACATGTAGAACAATCGTTACGCTTGAAATACACCATGCGCAAAGTACCATAGTTTTCACAAGTAGTAGTAAATAACCTTCATTCGAGAAGGTTATCTTGATACCGTTAATGGTATTAATATCGTGATAGATGTCCAAGCCTGTCCATGCAGCGGTCACGTGCCTTAAGCCAAGACGACATGGGCAGCCCAGAATTCAGCGAACGAATCACTGACCAAACCCACAGCAATTCCCTGAGAGCAATAGTTCCACTGTGGCTTCCGTAATTCTATCACTTGTTCGTTTCATGTCATAGTCCAAAGCAGTGTAAACCAAAACCACACATTCTACCTAAGGGTAAAGTGCATTTCAGTAGTTAGCTATCGCTAACCACTTAATCAACCCCAGGAATAGCAACATAAGGCTCCGGGGGTGCGGAGGTTATTCGGAAACCCATAAGGGTAGGGAAAAGTATTTCCCCCTTTTTCCCTATATTATATAAGTAGGGTATGGTGTACGTCATCTATAGACAACCAATTTTTCACAAAATTTTCTGACTTCTATTTCATATTCATTACTCAAAATTGCAGCAAATTGAGACGTAGAATCGACAGATCTCAATGTGGTGAAGAAATTCTACGTCTCAGAATTAAATTTGGTGATGAATTGGTCCAGAAATAGATATTTAACCTAGCGGTATTTTACATGGGCGCTTGGATATTTGGCCATAGGGGTGCCGCTCAAATGTATCTTGATATTTGTATATGACTCTTATCCGTATTTAATATCCGGAGGCTGGTGGGACCTTTAACCTCCCACTCCAGTGATAAAACGCATGAAATCGGTATTTAACGTATCTCGAATTTGGGTTTAACTATATTAATTGCACGTTAAATAATAAAACCTTCACTCTTCAATTTGGCCAGTTGGAAGATTTTAGATGAAGTGCACCATACAAGGACTGACACGTATAAAAATGATTGATAGGTTTACCGGTCACGTACAATTATTATTATATTATACAGGTATTATCATAGTTGCTGTACCACATACCGCCACCTAAACCTCTATAACTAGATACGTTCAGGAGAAATCAGATATAGATGTACAGAAATTATACGGAAGAACAGTGAAAATTGAGCATCATTCCTGATCAATTTGGACCATAACTTCTAAGATATTCTAATTAGGACTCTCTAAACGTTAAAATCGGATTTCTAGTGACTGGAAGTATACCCATTGTCAAGGCAATAACCTATTTTGACTGAGGTTCAGTTGTTCAAGGTTCGTTCAACAAAGAGAAGCCTATCAATCATTTCCAATCGGAGGTAGTATTAATACTTGTAGTACTATTTTTCCGAGGAGGGCCTGGGTTGTAATCTGGTTCATTTACCGTACCGTACACAATAACTACCCGGACTTAATAACTACCCGCGGGCCTTCCCGGTCGGAATAACTACCCTGTCTGCCTAAGGCGGATAAAAATATTTTAATGTAAATATTAAACGTGACATTTGTAAACTAAATTAAATACTACGTAGTATATTTAATTTTATTGAAAAGTAATCTGATTCTGGGGGCAATTCGGCCTTTCTCGAGCTACCCTGGACGAAAAATGTCAGGGTAGTTATTGGTGTACGGTACGGTAACGGGAAAAGATTACGTAAGCAATGTTGCTCTCAGGGAATTATTCCCCACTACAGTATTATATTTCAACAAGTCCGATTGGTCACTCGTTTGAAATGTCCCACTATCCGCTGCTGATGGCTAATTCCGCCCAGCATTTGAGCGTCGAAAGTGGACAGACACTATGACCTCCGTCGTGGAGGTGCTTGGGGTGGGTGCTGGTGTAGCTGCGTTCTTAGCTCTGGGCAGCTATAGCTTCTACAAGCTATGTATGAAGGCCTTGTCGCCCTCTGGGTACACGGACCACTTGCTCAATCACGAGTACGACCACCACCACCCCGCTCCGTTGTTGGGTCGTCTCACTTACTGTGTCTGTTCGTCAGCTCCGTGGGCGCGTTGAATGGTCTAAGTCGAGGAGACATTCCAGACAGGTACTCACGTTACTGCGAATCCACTTCTGACTTGTCGCAGGGAGTCGGACGCGTCCAAGTGGCTTTGCAACGTCTGCGCGTTTGCCAACGGCCGCGAAACCCTCGCGTGTGCGCTGTGTGAGACCAAACGAGGTATATGACACCATCACGAACCCGCCGTTTTGCTGACTTTGATTTCTGGCAGGCACTAGTGTCGCTGCAAACACTAGTGTCACTGCGTCGGACAGCGACCACGGGCTTGCGTTTGTATTACATCCGAGTGAGTTCAGTCCCCTTCAACACAGCGCCGTGTATGTACTACGGACGATATAGGGCGTTATCACGCGTGATTTTGGTGGTTCGAACATGTAGAATGCGAAAGGAATGGAGGCGGGTGCTGGATGCAGCCACCAACAGCATGACGTGGGTCCGCACAACCATCGCGCCGCCCGAGCTCGAGGCCCCCGCCGAGCGCTACTTCGTCGTGACGTCGACCTTGCCATTCGACATGACTGACGACGCATTGTACCCAGCCAATTTTTTGAACGAGTTCGTTCAGGTGGTTGTGGAGGAAGGAGCGGTGGCCACACACTCCGAATACAACGACCTCCCCGAAACCACGACCACGACCCTGAACCTAGACATGGCTGCAAACAACTCAGTTTGCATTGAACTGGGCTTTCATCCAATCGAGGACGTGGAACACGCCAGTCGGACGCTGATGGGCACGAGAGTGTCGCCGTGGCTCACGCAGCAGCTCGTCGACCTAGCCGACCAGCCATTCACGGCCAAATACGTGGCCCTGCTGTCGCTTCTCAAAGCCAACATTGACCACGGGTACACTATACTTGATCATTGGCAATTGTGCGCTGAATGGTCCGACTTATTAGACATGTGAAATTTCGCGTTTATCGACACCATCTGTACGACGAGTCCATGCACATGCTCCAGAGTCTACAGCCAAACGTCCTCTGCACCCGAACACGCATCGAGTTGCTCGGGGAAGCGGGCATCGATGCCGGTGGGTTGCAGCGAGAATGGTA